TGCTTTAAGGTCCCTTTTAGGGTTTAGGCTTTGTGCTGTAGAGTTTAGAGAACCCTGTTAGGAGATGGACAGCTAGGAGCAAGAGTTGCATCACCTGGAGGTTAACGTCGGGTCCCCAGACCAGTCTCCAGGAAGGTTTGTTTTAGGCTTCGGGCTCGGGGGTTCAGGTTTCGCGCTTTAGGGGTTAGGGTTTTCGGATTTTGAGCTCAGGGTCTTAGGGTTTGTGTATTAGGGTTTGTGTATTAGGGTTTGCGTATTAGGGTTTTGGGTTTAGGGTTTGGGATTTTAGGGTTTTGGGTTTGGGGGAGAGGCCCATACTTGAATCGCGGGATGTACCGGGTATTTTCTCCCAAGGGTGTCGTTCCACACCGGTACCTTTCATGTCCGTAAGCGTTTCGGAACTTTTGTTGGGCCAAGCGACATCGGGTCCTTTGGGATTGATGTTGACTTCCTGGCGTGCGTGATCTGGACATTGATCTAACACAGGAGGTACAGCTGCACCCCCTCGCTACCCCACATGGTGCGAGGCTGATCCGCTCTGCCTGCCCTAAACCCTAAACCCTTGGCTTTTGGACTTTTTCAGGTTTCGTAGAGTTTAAGCTTAAGCTGTTCGGGCTTTTTATCCCGGAAACCCCAAGCCCCCATTCTGAACCCTACATGTCAGCAGGAAGCTGAACGGGGTCTTCACTCGTCAGGGTTTAAGGCTTTAGGGCTTTATGGGTTTAGGCTTAGTGTTTGAGGCTTACGGGTTTCGATATAGGGCTTATGAGCACAATCCGAAGGAATTGCCACCGGTGTCTCCGCGAGCTGTGCCAAGAAAGTAGGCTCGTTGAAGAATGAGAAGATTCGTGACCTGAAGGAGCAAGTAAGGTAACTTCTCGTAGTTATCACTTACAGCGTATTACAAGTTGTATAGGTACTTAACAACGACAGATAGCCTCACTAAGGTACTTCAACAAACTTTGCCTTGGAATGTACGGAACCGAAGCTGTAGCGCCATCTGCCTCAAAGACCCTTCTTTCACCCCAAGCCCAAAGCCTTACTGACCCTTTAACCCACCTTTGCTACACACCCCTCATAAAGCCGTTTGAGGCTCTGTAAAAAGCTCCTATTGACCGTTACGCAACTGTAAAAACATGTATACAGCCACCCGAAACCTAAACCGTAAACCCTAAACCGTAAACCCTAAACCCTAAACCCGAAACCCTAAGCCCTAAACCCTAAACCCTAAACCCTAAACACCCTTGTGAATCCCGTGGCACGTTTCGAGCCCTGAGCCCCCCTGCTAGCTTCCCAACACCCAGCTTCCTAAGAAGTTTAGGGCTTTAGTTTTTTTTTTTTTTGGGGTTTTAGGGTTTTAGGGTTTTAGGGTTTTAGGGTTTTAGGGTTTTAGGGTTTTAGGGTTTGGGGCTTTAGTGTTTTACGGTTTTAGCGGTTTAGGGTTTAGAGTTTTAGGGTTTTAGGATTTCGGGCTTGGGGCTCAGGGTTGGTTTAGGGTTCAAGCCTACACCGTGGCCCTAAAAACATCCCTGCGTTTGAGCCCAGAGACTCCAATATCCCTTAACTAAGGAATATACCTTAAATCATATTAAGGATCCTACTATAATTTAAGGAATATTCCTTAATTAAGGGATATTGGAACCCTAAACCCTAAACCCTAAACCCTAAACCCTAAACCCTAAACCCTAAACCCTAAACCTTAAACCCTAAACCCTAAACCCTAAACCCTTAATTAAGGGATATTGGAGCCTCGGGGAGTCTCAGGAGCGCATCGTCGTCTGCGGACTCCTCGGTCCGCCCGCCCGCTCCACAGGAAGTTCGGAGTGCAGGGTTTTAGGGGTTTTAGGGGTTTTAGGGGTTTTAGGGTTTTAGGGTTTAGGGTTTAGGGGTTTTAAGGTTTTTGGGTTTAGGGTTTAGGGGTTTTCGGGTTTTGGGGTTTAGGGGTTTTAGTGTTTTAGGGTTT